CCTCAACATTATTGAAGCTGGATCTTGTAAGACAATGGAGCAAAAGGCAGTGAACAAGAAGAAAAGAAGACTACTTAAAGATATTATAAGAAAGCTTAACTAAGAGATTTCAGGCTGTGTTGAAGAATAAAAGTGGTCATACCAAATATTGACTTTCAAGCTTGTAAGAATTACACAGACTGCTTTATATGCTTTATTGCCATGTCTGTTTGCAAATGTTTCAATGAACCACTCCACCTTCCATTTTCTTAGCAACAGAGAAATGAAGGGCTCCATGCACACAATGTTGCTTTATTTTATTTTAATTTAATGTAGTTAGACTGAACTATCAAAGCGCAGCTGTTGGTTTGGCGAGGCAGAATTGACACAAAGCTGTGGGGTAGAACTCATAGGCTTAAAAAGCAGTATGTTGCATTTGAATTCAGTACAAATTAACAATAGCCTGGTGCAGCATATCCTGGTAGAGAGACCATGATTTAGCCTTCAGCCTGCCCTGAGGTGAGTTTATAGATATTAACAAATGAGAACTGATTGCACATGTCTTAAAGTCAGTACTTTACAAAGGTCTAGGAAATTTAGTCTACAATTCTCTGTTGTTGGCATTCAGGTCAAGCCTTTCTGTGGTATACCTACTAACTTCAAGACAGCTCACAGAGAGGCTGGATGAAATGTTCTTTTTTTCCTACACCTCCTCCCACGGAGTACAACAAGACTTGTAATTAGAGCCCATTTTCTTTTCCCTATTTGTTCTTTCTTTGGGGTCCATTTACAGAAACTCTGCTATCTTAGACTATTGATTCCCCAGGTGTGCTTCCCACCACTTAAGTCTTGTGATCTTTGTCACAAGGATGTAAATTCCTAGAGAGAGAAAAGCATCTATAGTTTATCTATAGATAGTAGATAGTTCTGCCACCACAATTAAAGCTCAACCTCCTGTAATCAAATTAAGCCTAACGCAAGAAAACTTGGATTCTCATAATTTTTGATAAACAATCAAAAGAGTTTATATTTCCTTTTTAAATTGTAGATGGCCACAACTCTCCAGAGATAAAGTCAACCCACACCATGCATGGAGCTCTGGTTCACGATTAACTACAAATATTACCAAATTCAAAGTTTTCCCAAGCCCTATCTCTGTAAAAATTTTCATGATAATTAATTAAAAACTTACAGTAATCTTGTTAAGAAACAAACATGCAAACTGAACCATTTAACCTTAGGAAAGGTCAAATTGATCAAACATGGCACTGCCTACATTCTGTGCTTTGAATTTCTGTTGCCTTAGCTACTGTAATTCTCTCAATAGTTGGTGGAAATCAGACCACATCTCTCTTAAGTGCCTATCAATGACGTACACAATAGATTTCTTTAAAAAAAAAAAAAAATTAAAAAAAAAAACTTTGCATAGTGCAAACAAAGTTTTAAAAACCCACAAATCTCAACTGTTCTATTGATAAAAAAAAATAAATAAATTAAAAAAAAATGTTATGCAGCAGAAACATTTGACCTAAAAACCCTTTTGACATATTAGTCAGCAAACTGAAAAGGGTAAGGTATCAGAGGGGTTTGGCTGAATAGCGTGATGAGCTACTTAGGAAAAATGTAGCAATTTGCAAAAAAAGGTTAATACAAATCAACCTGTTTTGATATATATTGTGCAAGTTCCTCAGGGGTAGGTCCACTTTTATTAGCATCTGCTGGAGATCTCATCCTGTTAAAAGGGAGTTTCTACCCATATACAAAGTGAGTGAAGTGTAGCAAAAGGGAATAATCAAACAGCACAGAAAATGGGTGTAATAATATATATTTTAATTATACAGAAGTTCTTAGATAGATAGACGAGGTGCGGTGACTCCCAAGCTAGGCGAGTGGCTCCAGCAGATCCCGGGAATAACATCGGAGATCTCTGTCCAGAAGAGCGCAGTCCTGGGAACAGCTAAGATACTGTGCAGGACCCTCAAGCTCCCAGGCCTCTGGTAGAGGACCAGAGCTTGAAAGATAAACCGCCCGCAGGGGTGTGCTGAGTGTTTTGTTGTTTTTTTTTTTTTTTTAAATATACTGGCTGAAAACATATTCCTAGTCACAGCTAATAACAGAACATAAATGGCCTGGTTACTTCCTCCCACCATTAATACATATTCAGAAGTCAACAGGGATTGCTAGGCCCTCGTCTTCTCCGCAGGGCTCTCATTTTAAGAGCAGCAGGGCTACACAACATTTACAGGCTGTCATCATGTCATGACAAAAAGAAATGATGGAAAAACATTAAGGTGTTTTTCAGAAGGTACAAAAAAAATGTTTTCATGACAATCTATTTTGATTTTCATTTCAAAGCACCCACAGAGAGGAAGACAGTATTAAAAGCAAAATTGAAATGCTGTCAAGTACTGGTGTAGAGAGTCTTCGAGTGATTGTTTATAATGTTTAATGCCAGTGTGCCCTTCTCTCTCATAGCAGGTGTCTTTACAACCCTTGTTTATTGATTGACACTCAATAGCATGTATGTCAATGGGAGAAAGCAAAGCAGCAACAGTGATGCACTTGGCAGTAGAAGGTGAAGCTGTGTGAAACCTTTCACTTGTTCAACTGGCCATGCCTGTGAAAACCACAGCAATCAAATTTGATTAAGAGGCTTTCCCCAGTCCATCATTCCCCATTTTTATTCCTCATCCTATAGATAAAGAGAGAGAGAGGGAGAGAGACTAAATAAAGTACCCCCTTAAATTCTACTAGAATATGTGAACACATCATTATGGACAATCTCTACTGCAATGATCTGTAAAACCAACCAGCTGACCTACACCACAGCAGAGCTATCCTTGAGATACTTCGCAGCAAGATGAACAGCTACAAGATCCTTCATTGAGAAGGAGACTAGAGGCCAAGATATAGACAGCACAGGTGAAAGTCAGCTGCAGAAAGGTGTGAAACCAGAGGTATACCAGACAAAGAGAAGCCAGGAGAATAAACCAGCTGTTCTCCACTGAACCATCCGAGGTGTATGCTCAACAATAACAACATGAGCAACAACAATATGAGAACCGTCCCATCAGAGCAGGAGACAGAGCAATACTGGAAGATTATATGGGAGGAGCTTTACGGTCCTGTACAGTATCTTTGTCTCAGGACTGCTCCTGGAGCTACTCACCCAGTTTGGGGAGCACTGCCACAAGTGCTCCGATTACTACAATGTTGCCTTCACCCTCCACATCTCCACAGCGGCAAAGAAAACATCTGACTTTACACATTTATTCATTCTCTAAAAGTTCTTAAAATATTTTATGCAATGTGCGGTTAATAATCACGAAAGCTGTTAATAAATTAGCCACTGACAGAGGACAGGATTGGAGAAGGTTTGACAGTCCTGAAGTGGCCTGCAAAACTCGATGAGGCCTGGAGGATGTGAGAGCCTTCATCTTGTTGTGTAAAGTGCTTTGAGTTTCAGCGAGACTAGAAAAGCACTATATCAGTGCCTGTCCAATTCCATTCTATTCTTCTAGACACCTAAGGAGGAATAGTCCCTTCTACAGGCTGTCTGGTAAGAGATGTGTATTTGAGAGAGAAATCTGATGGCATTGTCTGCTGTCCAAATGGCCACTGTTTTAAGGACGGACACGGACACGG